TGAGGTCGAAGAGGTTGCTGCCTGTGTTCTCCTCTAGGATTTTGATGGACTCCTGTCTCACATTTAGGTCTTTCATCCATTTTGAGTCTATTTTTTGTGTGTGGTGTATGCACTCAACTTTAATTACCTTGTCATCATAGGCCTGAGGCCTGTGATGTCTTTTTTTTCTATTCTCACCTTCCAAGGCCTAAAGAACGTTTAAAAAATTTTTGCCTGAAGGACATTTTTGTGCATTCCATTAAATTATGAAAGGATAAACCTATAGTACAGATTTAGTCAGAAGTAGATACTTTTGTGCCTTGTGCTAGATGGGTGGAGATTTAGTGCCCAAGAGAGGTCCTCATCACCCCGCTGAACAGGAGGGTAGATGGAGATGTAAGTTCTCTCCTCGCTGCAGGGTTTGGTTTGTTCTAATAGCACAAAGAGAATCAGTCCTCTTTTTGATGGTGATGTCTATCACCTGGGTCTTTTTTTTCTTGATTAATTTTTGGTTTATTTTTTAAATGCAAGTATAATTAAGTACTGGGAAATCTCTAATATAGTTTTCTGAATAGAATGCAATTTTGTTAATATAATTGATACATTTATATATAAAAAAATGATTATTTCTGTAGATGCTGAAAAGATTTTTTTTATTATTATGTTTAGTTAGCCAACATATAATACAAAATTAGTTTTTGATGTAGTGTTCAACAATTCATTAGTTGTTGCTCATCACCTGGGTCTTAAAGAACACATTCAGCACGTCAAGTTTTCTTCCAAGTCATAGATTCTAATTGCTATTCTCACTGATTCTGTAAACTCTAATCCCTTTGGAGATTGACCTGATATTTTCCCCTTTTATCTTCTATGCTGATGCTGAGAAATCTGACAGCTTGACTCTGGTGTGACTCCTCTCTCATAGGAGAAGCTCCAGACAGCTCTGCAGAAGCTGAGGGAGAAGCAGCAGGAAGAAAAGATGTTGGAAGCTATCCTCAAAGAAGAGAGAACTTCCCTGAAGGTAGGAGGAGATACTTCCTGAGAGAGTTAGACAAAAATATAGATAGGACCTTGGGTGTTAGTGACAAGGAGCTCTCTTCATTTTTGTTCCCTGATAGTTGATATGTCCAAAAGTATTTTGGTTAGTCCTCTTCTTTATCCTTTCCCTGATAAAGTTGGGGCTGAAAAGTTAACATGTTATAAATGAACACAGATGTTTAGAGGGAGGTATTCACATAGAAGATGGCTAGTGAATTCTGTGTTACATTCCTGTTGTGATTTTGAGACTTTGACCCTCCTGGGGGAAGACAGTTAGCAATGACTCAAGGTTTTGTCTTCATTGTCCAACTTTCAGCCAAGGGTGAGGGGATGGGGGTCAGCAGTAAAGCAAGGAGTCTTGGTTGTCCTGGACAGCTGCGTGAAAGTAAAGCCACAGCCAAGGATCCTATTTGGGCTCAGGGTTGGCCTCAATAATGCAAACTTGAGGCCATCATTTTGGAATGTGATGGACAAAAAAATAATAGGAAAAGTCGGTTTCCCCAAGAATTTTTCCTTTGCTTCTCTCTCATTTCCCAGTGAGAACTTTCCAAAGAAAATAGTTCTCTTTCTGACTCCCAGTCTCTGCCGATAGCCTGAGTACCTCTCTTTCTCATTTCTGAAGAATCAAATACGAAGTGAGAAAAGGTGTGTCCAAGCACAGTTTAAAAAACTCAAGACTATCCTGGAGAATGAGGAGCTGAGGATGGTGCAGCAGCTGGAGAGCGAGGAGAAAGCTATTTTTGACACCCTGGCTGCAACGGAGGTTGAGCTGGTCCAGCAGAGCCAGCTGATGAGAGACCTGGTCTCGGAACTGGAGCATCGGCTGCAGGGGTCGACAGTAGACATGCTGCAGGTAAGACTCAGGAAGAAGCCCCAGCATCTGAGATTTGACAAAAATGAAGACCAAGTCTCCTTCTCTCCCATGTTGCTTTGCTCTTCCTGGTAGTGACACTAGGGTTCCTTTGGCCTTGCAGTATCCCCTTTCTTGTATGTGTGTCAGAGATTATAGGAATAAATAACAAGGGACAATTTCATATTTATTTATCAAGTGCAGTGCAGAAATCTGATGGTGGCAGAATTTGCACTGTATCCAGTGATAGTCTAGAGGCCTCTGTGATCAGTGATCTAGTGCTAAGGACTTTTCAGGTACCTCTTCATGATTCAGCTTGGTCACAGACAAGTGAACATCACATTCTAAGACTTTTTTTTCCCTCATAGAATAAACTAAGATTTTTCTCCCTCTTTCTCTATTTCCTGAAAAACAAATAAACAAAAAACAAATTGTGAAGGACTAGTATTATTTATTCTTTAAATATTCAATAGAATTCACGAGTGAAGCCATCTCATTCTGGGCTTTTCTTTTTCAAAAGGCTTAAAATAATATTTAAAAATATGTATTAGGTTTGCTTATATTTTTTACCATTCTTAAGTCATATTTTGATAATAAATGTCATTGTAGGGATTTGTCCACTTTAAAGTTGTCTGATTTGTAGACATAAAGGTAGTCATAATAATCCCTTATAATCCCTCTGGTTTCTACAGCACACACAGTAATGTTTCCTCTTTTATTCCTAATTTTGATGGTGTGCTTTTTCTCTTTTTTTTTCTTGGACAGTTTAGTCTTTGGTCAATTTTATTGATTTTCTGCAAGAACAAACTTTATTATTTCATTTACTTTTTTAACCTTTTTTTTTCTTAAAGATTTTATTTATTTGAGAGGGAGAGAGAGAGAGCATGAGCAGGGGTGAGGGGCAGAGGGAGAGGGAGAAACAGACTCCCCACTGAGCAGGGAGACCAACAGGGGCTCGATCCCAGAACCCTGAGATCACCACCTGAGCCAAGGCTGCCACTTAACCAACTGAGCCACCCAGGTGCCCTGCTTTTTTTAACATTTCTATGCCATTTGTGTCTGGTCTCCTCTTTATTGTTTCCTTTGTGTGTGTATGTGTATATGCACGCATGAACATGAGTGTGTACACACATGAACACAAGTGTGTGCATGTATGCATACATGAACACATGTGTGTGTGCTGAGTTTAGTTTGTCATTCTTTTTCTAGTTTCTTTTTTTTTAAATTTTTGACAAGATTTTATTTATTTATTTGACAGAGAAAGAGATAGTGAGAGCAGGAACACAAGCAGGGGGAGTGGAAGAGGGAGAAGCAGGCTTCTCACCAAGCAGGGAGCCTGATGTGGGACTCGATCCCAAGACCCTGGGATCATGACCTGAGCCGAAGGCAGACGCTTAACGACTGAGCCACCGAGGCGCCCCTTTTTCTAGTTTCTTAAAGTGAAAACTTAGATTACTTATTTGAGACCATCATTTCTGATATAGTATTTAATGATATAAATGCAATGATTTAAGTATATTCCATATATTTATTATATTTATTTATTTAATTATTATGTTCAATTAGCCAACATATTAATCCACATATTTTGATTCTTTAGTTGTTATCTTCATTAGTTCTACTTATTTTCTAATTTCTTTTGTGAATTTTTTGGTTAACCCTTGGGATATTTGAAAGTGTGCTATTTATTTATTTATTTATTTAGGTTTTTATTTACATTCCAGTTAACATACAGTGTGATATCAGTGTCAGGCGTACACTACAGTGATTCAGCACTTCCGTACATCACCTGGTGCTCATCACAAGCGCACTCCTTAATCCCCATCACCTGTTTCACGTATCCCCCCACCCCACCCCTCTGGGAATTATCAGTTTGTTCTCTATAGTTAAGTGTCAGTTTCTTGGTTTGTCTCGCTCTCTCTTTTCCCTTTGCTCATTTGTTGTGTTTCTTAAATTCCACATATGAGTGAAATCATATGGTATTTGTCTTTCTCTGACTGACTTATTTCACTTGGTGTAATACTCTATAGCTCCAACCATGTTGTTGCAAATGGCAAGATTTCATTCTTTTTTATGGCTGAGTAATATCCCATAGTATCTATCTATCTATCTATCTATCTATCTATCTATTTATCTATCTATCATCTATCTATCTACACCCCACACACATATACATATGACACATTCTTTATATATATAAAGACATAAATAAATTATTATATATTATAATATATATACACCATGTTTTATTTATCAGTAATCAGTTGATGGACACTTGTGCTGTTTCCATAATTTGGCCATTGTAGAGAATGCTGCTGGAAACACTGGGGTGCTTGTATCCCTTTGAATTATATTTTTGTATTCTTTGGGTAGATACCTAGAAAGTATGCAATTTAATTTAACAATACTTGATTTCTTACTTTTTTTTCTGCTGTGGTTTTCAAATATAATTTCTTTGTAATCAGAAAACACATATTTTATTATTTCACCATTTAAATGTATTGATACTTGTTTTATGGACTAAAATATTGTATGTCCAGAAAATTTTTCTGTGTGAATTTGAGAAGAATGTGTATTCTGCGTTTATTAGATGAAATAGTCTATAGATATCTGTTAGGTCAAGTTGGTTGATAGTATCATCCATGTCTTCTGTATTTTTGATGACATACACGCTATTCTATCAATTATTTAGAGTGAGCTGTCAAAATCTACAACTACTGAATTGTCTATTTTTCTTTTTAATCCTTTCAATTTTGCTTTGTGTATTTTGAAACTCTGCTGTTGGGTACATTTACATTTGTAATTGTTATATCCCTTCTTGATGTACTGAACTTTTTATCATTCTGAAATTTCTCTCTCATTCTCTCATAATATTTATGGTCTGAAAGTCTATTTTGTCTAATATTAGTATAGACATGAGCTATTTTATGATTACTGCTTGCATGGTATATATTTTTCTATCTTTTTACTTTTGCCATATTTGTGTCTTTGTATCCAAAATATGTCTCTTGTTGATAGCAATAGTTGAATCTTGCTTTTTATCCAGTCCAATGATCATTGCCTTTTAATGGAGATGTTAAGACAGTAACATTTTATGCTAATGTTGATGTAGGTGTATTTACATTTATTATATTACTGGGTTTTTTTTTTCCATATGTCACCTGTAGTTTTCATTGTCCTTTCTCCTTAACTAGCTTTGTTTGAGTTAAAGAAATATTTCTAGTATAAAATGTTAAGTTTTCCTATTTCTGTGGGGTTTTGTTGTTGTTGTTGTTGTTTGTTTTTTAGTTTTTTTCCCCCTAATGGTTGTTCTAGTGATTACAGTATGCATCTTACCCTATCATGGTCTACTTCAGATTAATACTAAGTTAATTCCAGTAAGATATAGAAACTTGCCTCCAACATTGCTTCATTTCCTTCCAGCTCCAACACAGGGATGCTTTACTATGGGCACCTGATCCAATGCAGAGCAATGACACGCAGGCATAGACTTTTTTGGTTTTTGTTTTCTGGTTGTGTTTTGTGGTGTTGTTGTTGTTGTTTTTAACTGGGAAGAGAAGTTCTCTTTTCTTCTGGAGTTTATATCAGGAGATTCATGTTTCCTTCATGAACTGAGAGTAAATTCAATATAGAGGGAATAAATAGAATTTGGAAGACATAGACCAGATCCTGATGATAGGGTTTGAGCTTCAAAATTCAGCTTTGATTCAAGTTATAACTGCTCCCCCAAATCCTTTTCTCTACTTAACCTGGTTTTTGCTTTTTATCATATACAACATAAAAGTCCTAATAAAGAGAGCAAAACCTTTTTTTTTGGCCCTGGTTGACCCACCTGTTGGCCTAATTTTTGGTGACGTGAAAGAAGGCTGAGGTAAAGGAAACCAAATATATTGGTAGATATTTGTTCAAACAACCAAAACAATACCTGTGATGATAAAGAAAATCAGATGGCTAAAACTGTTAAGAATATGGACTAAACTGAACTAATATTACACTGTATGTTAACTAACTGGAATTTTAAATAAAAACTTAAAAAAATAAAAACAATAACAAAAAAAGAATGTGGATTAAATTGCTCAGTAGAACCTGAAGTGCAGGTAAAAATTGTAGTTTTAGGACAGTGGCTGAGTGAATATTTGTAACATTATGAACAATGGAGTGTAAGAGAAGAGACGATTTGGTTGGTGAATGGTAAGTTACATATTAAACATCCTAACCCACTAGTTCCTGTGGCTTCTTTACTACTGAATATGTTAACGTGCATCTAAGAGACAAAACTGAGTAAAAACAAAGAGTTGGAAATCAAGTGCATATATGTGTGTGTTGAATTTAAGAGAGTGGATAAGGTCAATTATAGATAGTGTGTAAAATGAGGAGAGATTTGAAAAACATCTAACTTAATATATTTGCTTGTGTCCCCTGCAAAGTCATGTTAACTTCTTGAGGGATATTATGATAATTTACTCATCTTTGATTCTCCAAAGCTTGTCCTGAGGTTTGGCAAATAACAGCGTATTGCTTTATGTTTCTGTTGAATAAATGAAAGAACCATTGCATTATTCAAACTTTCTCATGCATTTAGGAAAAAATTATGGGACTCTTGTTTTCCTCATAAATATGTCTCATTTCCAGATACTAGAAGCTTCATGCTATAATTCTACAAGGCTCAAAGCTGTTTCTACCTTTTAGGGAATCTGACAACCTCACATGTCTTCTGGAATGATTAGCCTGGGTCTTATTTTTACTTATTTGCTCTCGCGTTGAGACCATCTTTACTCCTACCATGGGGTTGGTAGGGATGTGATGAAGCTTTGTAAATGAGAAGGGTCTATTACCTCTTGACTCATGTCTTCCCTTTTCTCCCTAGGATGTGAATCACATCATAGAAAGGTATGTGTGGGGGATCAGAGATGGTCCTTTTGTGCAGTAAAAAGAGGTTTAAAGTCATTAGAGTTCTATGGTGATCGATTAGAATAAAACATCTCTCAGGGCAGGACAATTTGGGTGTAGTTATATGTTTAATGTCTGTTCACAAATTGTGGTTTGAGTGTTCTGTAACTATTGACAATGGACCAGGTTCTGTGGGAGGGAATGTGGGTGGTAGGAAGTCATACAGTTTGGGTCAGTAGCAGTACTGTGGATAAGGGGTGGCAGACCCCTGTGACTTCATAAATTTTATTCACCTTGCATGCCCGTAACTAACTCAGGTACTTATATTTCATAGGTGCTTGGCTATGGGAAGTTCATGTCTTCTTTTCCTGCCAAGTACCTGGAGTTGGATACAGTTCCCTTAAATTTAAACTTCTGCCCTGGGAATAGAAGAGACCTTCTATATGGCTCTGTTTAGATTTCCAAAAACAAACTTGAATCTCATGGAATATTTTGGCCCTAGTATACACACAAGTGATCCATCTTCGTCACAAACTCTAGAAGCCAGAATGGAAAGGTAACATCCTTGTGTATAAATTTGCACACCTACCTGACAGCATCAAGCTTTTTCCTAACACATGAAATTCAGGCCATCATTAGTTTGGTGTTTGTGTCTTCTGTTCTAAGTGTTTGCAAATTTTCCCAGAGAACCTAAAAGCTCAGATGTTATTCTGAGGGCTTCCCTACTGGGGAGCAGAGTTTAAAGATCGTGGTCCTCCCCAGACAATATTCCCACACTTGATATGTTTCAAACATCCAGGAGTCAGGTCCTGCAACTTCATTTTCTGAACATCTGGCCTGGGAACCTGCATCCATGCAGTGGCTTTTCCACACATTAAGTTTTTTTCAAGGTACCAAAGTTTTGTTTTGTTATATCCATTATTTTATATAATTTCTAGGAGATAGAGAGGGAGAGGTTGATGATTTAATTTTGGAAGGAAGAAACTGTGCCTCTGAGAGGTCAAGACTTTCCCAAGGTCACACAGAAGGTAACTGGGAAGGTAGACATGAACACATTTCTTCTGTCTCCAAGGTCAGGAGTCTGCTCTCCTCTTTCTCGGGGTCTCTGGGGAGGAGGGCTCAAGCTCTTCAATGGGATGAATAGGAAGTCAGTCATTTTGAAAGGACAAAAATTCAGAAGTGTGGGGTTCAATTTTTGTCATCCTTAGGAGTAAGAACTTGAGTCTGAAGAAACAAACCATGTTTCTCAAGGAAAAAAGGCAAGTGTCCCGAATTGCTGATCTGGAAGTGATAACAGAAGCATTTAGAGGTGAGGAGTGCTGGAGCAAGTGGTTGGCTGTGGGAGTCTTGTGATGGCGGGGGCTAAATGGGGAAAAGGGCACAACTTCTAGGGATGGAGAGAGAAGACAAAGGACATCACATGCTGATGAGATGGTCATATTTAATGGGAAGTGGCCAGGTGTCTGGGGCACACTCTCCTTAACCATTTCACTACCTCGCCATAGTCCCCAATCCTTCCCCTAATCTTCAGGGGAAAGAGATTTCAGGGCTGTCTCCTTTGTTTGTGTAACCTTGAATAATGTACATAAATGATGTGTTTATTTTCTTAAAATCATCTTGGTGTAAAAACCGCACCATGCTTAGGATCACTGTAAGAAAATAAATGTCATTAAGTATAAACATCTAAGTATTTTGATTTATTTTTTTATTTTTTTAAATTTAGAAACAATGAAAGAGAGCAGGAAGATGGACAGAGAGAGAGAAGCAGACTCCCACTGAGCAGGGAGCTGGACATGGGGCTCCATCCCAGGACTCTGAGATCATGACCTGAGCTGAAGGCAGATGCTTAACTTACTAAGCCACCCATGTGCCCCTGAGTGTCTTGATTTATTAATAAATATTTGCTCCTAAAAAATATAAGCTGTGTCAGTGTCTCATGAAATTCTAGGGGATTCAGTTTTCTCATTTGTAAAAACAAAAAAAGAAATGTACCTGATATAGAATTGTGAAAATTAACCAACAGAATGTTTTCTAGCACATAAGAAGGGATCTAGTAGGTGTCTATTTATTTTTTGGACCCTCTCATTTGGACTAAAATAAATGACTTTAAGAATACATATTAGTTTTACTTTCAACATTAGTACATTTGTTTTGTGTTAAGAAATAAAATAACTTGATTAAAGAATTACAACTTTCTTCAAATCTTAGCTAATAAATGTTTTTGTATAGCTGCCTAGTTTTTTTTTGTTTTTTTTTTTCATTTTTCTGCAGTGATTCTATCTCACTGAAATTGAATTTCGATTTGGGCTCTTTGCCCAGCTTTAAAAAGTTATTATTCACAGTGATATGGTAAGAGAAGTACAATCGTGGATTTCTTGACAATGGTGTAGGTAAGTGTTTTGCTAGTCTGATCGGCTTTCCTTTTGCAACAACTTGAAACTTCTCAGGAAGGAAGAGGGAAATCCTGCTCTCCTTCTGTGAGATTGGAGGGGAGTTATCTCTGCAATGGATGTTCATTTGGGGCTTGGTGGGATCCCTGTGTCTTTTAGCATTTTTATTCCCAACTCTTCTTTTTTTTTTTAAGATTTCTTTATTTATTTATTTGACAGAGAGAGAGAGAGAGAGACAGCGAGAGAGGGAACACAAACAGGGGGAGCAGGAGAGGGAGAAGCAGGCTTCCTTCTGAGCAGGGAGTCCGGCGCGGGGCCTGATCCCAAGACCCTGGGATCATGACCCAAGCCAGAGGCAGACACCTAACGACTGAGCCACCTAGGCGCCCTGTATTCCCAACTCTTCTTTAACTATGTTCAGAGCTAGGAGAAAAAAAGTGGGCTGTCTGCTTAAACAGTATCTGCTCTCATTCCTGCTCATCCCCAGAACCCCATCTGCCTCATCTTTGGATGACCTTTGATGACACAAAGGATTCCAAGGTGAATATTTCTGGAATCTATGTGTGTGCACAGGTGCACGCACGCACACACACACACACACCCACACCTATAACTCAGCACTCATCCCTGGAAACTGGAGGAAATTGATCTTCTAAATTTTCCCTTTGACCTCTGCCTTCCTGTCACCCCATTGTTACAATGAAAAATTTGAGGAATATAAAAATGTCTTCTAGAAGTAGCAGAAAATGTGATAGGATCATAATAATGAAAGTGTACAAAATTATGAAATTATAGGTGTCCAAAGTATACGAGGCAATGCTCCTTTTGATAGCCCAGCATCTGGGTCACTTCTGTAGTCGGGGACAGCAGATCATATCTCTGTCTGCCCCGCTTCAGGAGAGAAAAGGGAATGAGGAGACTTCATTATTTTAAAGCCAGAGGAATCTAGGAAAGCCGATCCATTTGCTTCTTGTACTTGTAAATATATAGTATGTTTGTGATCCTATGGAAAAATTCCCAGTGCTCCCTTTACCCATGTAAAGGAGGCCTGATGATGGGGCCCCTGCACACTTCTGCAACCTCTCCTCTCTTCACTTGTCTCTCTTGAGCCCCTTGCCCAGTCCTTTGGAAAAACCAACAGGTGTCTGAACACTCATGCGTCGGCCTGGGCCCTGTCTGCCACCTGGAAGCAAAGTTCAGCCAAGGATGCAAAACCAAAGTAAAACTTGTACCCTAAAGAAGAATTTCCAAAATTGTCAACATTTTTAAAAAATAAAAGATAACTGTAACTTCACATACATTTGTAAGAAATAATAAAGAGACATGCCTTGTACACTTTCCTCAATTTCCCCCATTTTTCAGATCCTTGCCACCACTGTCAAGACTATTCCAGTTCTGCTTTTGATACACACACACACACACACACACACACACACACACACACACCCCTCTCATAGGCAGACTCGTTTTCAGTTTTTTAACAGCTTTGAGATATCACTGACATATAAAAATTGTAAATATTTAAGGTGTACAACTTAATGGTTGAATACATGTATATGTTGTGAAATGATCACCACAATTAGGCTAATAAACATGCATCACCTCTACATGGCTACCATTGTGTGGTGTGTATGTGTGTGCATGTGTCTCCCCATTTCCTCCAACTCCTAGCTCCTGACAACCACAATTCTAATCTCTACTTCCTAGTGTAACTGTTGCAGAGCCTGCACATAAATGCAGGATTTCTCTTTCTGTATCACAGGTGGACTTTTATTATAATTCTGATGTTGCCATATACTGGCCCTTATCAAATAAACTAAATTTTATGAGATATACTTTCCCATTTATAAAAAATAGGTAATGAAAATTGCTTAATGAGTTATGGTGAAAATGAAATAACAGAATATTTTTAATAATTGCTACTATTTGCTAACAGATGAGCAGTGATTTAGAATGATGTCTGTTATTTTCCTGATTCCCTTTACCTGTGACTTTGAAATAAATTATTTAAAAAACACGTATTAGTTTGCTTTCAAAATTATTGCCTTTGCTTGGTTTTAATTAACAGAATAACTTGCTTAAATAATTACAGATTTCTAAAAGAATTTTATCTGATTGTAAAATAAATATTTTAGCATTATGAGTTTTTTCTCATCACCTTCATAGCTTCCCAGGCTTATTTATAATTATAATAGCTTCTTTAACTGAATATATTAATGGAAAGTAATATCCTCTCCTGTTTCTGCAGTAATCCTATTTCATTGGAAATCTCCTTCTGTTTGCCTGGCTTTACTCAATCATTATTCATGGTAATATGGGAAGAGTCCAGAGTACTTTGTGGGATTTCTGAACAATGTGCTAGGCCAAACTTTGGTTTCTCCTGGTTTGCCTCATTCTTCCCAGTGAGCTGATGGACTCTGACAGTCCTCAGGAATGAAGAAAAGCCGGTTCTCCCCTCTTTTCTTCCAGAATTGTTTCTGTAGTGGTTCCTCATGCAGGCCTTGGTGAGATCTCCCTGTCTACTCCTCTAAAAATCCAGACCAATCATTCCTTTTCAGTGAATACTGTAAATTGACTTACTCGTTTTTAGAATTAATGCATAGTTTATGTTATAACAAATTGCCAGATGTTTTTCAAAGTGGTTGTCTCTTTTTTCACTATCACAGGTCAGAAAGGAGAAGAGGGGTAATACGGTGTGTGGTGGTGAAGGCAGAGATGTACAGTAGATGTGACTTCGGATAGTCTTTTTTTACTCTGTAAATCTTGCTGACAGTTGGAGGGGAGTGCAGGGCTCCAGGTGTGTGTGTATTTATGGGGTGTGAACAGGGGCAGGGTAGGTGAGTTGATTATGAGGACCAAAAGAGATGAGTTCCTAATACTTCCTCCTTTCTCATGCCTCCTACAAATCCCATATCCATCCTTTTACTCCTTTTGAATCTCTGATTTGACCTCACATCCTGGGCCCCAGACACTTAAAGTTTCCCTCCAGACTTCATGTGAGCAGTTTGTATGAGGGCAAGAGCTTCTGGAATGTGAAGAAAGAGATGTTTGGCAGCACAGGGTGTAAAAGCTGACTTTTGAATCAGGATTCCTTCTATTTAGCCCTCAAGAACTCCCTTACTTCCCAAACTCAAACACCCAGTACCCCTTATGCATTTCTGAGTAAGTTGAGATAGGGCAGTTTTGGGCTGTAAAACCTTGGATCAATCTATAATTTGAAAATTACACTTACATAGAGGACCTGATGTTTTTGAGGTTGTCTGAGAAGAGATAACAAAAAATTCATCTGGAAAATGTGGGAGGGAATCAGAGGCCCAAGAGAGATGAGAGGGTGGGAGGGTAGTAGGGTCGGAGGATGGCGCTGGCTGATGTCCCAGGAACCACCTCTGAGACATAGATTTAAGGTGGGAGAAATCAGTGAAGAAATCAGAGTTCGTCAATACAAGGAAACATGGGCTTTTGGTCGGAAACCTGAATGAACCTAGCTCCTTCTCCTACCACCCAAAGTCTGTCTCTGGAGCTCACCATACTGCTGTGATCCATATTCCAGCTTACTATGCACTCGGGTATCAGGGAATAAAAAGTCCTCCTTAGGGCTTTGTGTCCCCCTCCATTTTCTGTATGTCCTGCTGGGGAGGAATCTAAATGAGAGATCTCCCACTTTGGGCCCATGAATTTTAACTGTTTTCAGTCTGAAAGAAACCACAGGCCCCAGGAAGTAATGTGGTTCGATTGTGCTGGTCCAGAACAAATAAACAGGCATTGAGATAAGTATCTGAGTAAACCTTAAAAACAAAACAGAGAAGACAGGAAAAATTGTTATTGAACATTCTTCAAAGGAGTTGGTATCAATGTTCATACCAGAATTTACATGCACCACAGCAATTACGGTGACTGCAAGGGCAACAGTGGAACAGAACCATGATTATCATTAGCATGTTCAATGCAATTAAAATATTAGAGTTGTATAACTGCGTGTCTTTCTATTCTAGTATCATTCCCTATGTGCAGCACCTTGTAATAGATCTGAGACAAAAAGGAACAACACAAAAAAGTTCCCTTCCTGCCTTCATAAAACTTACTGTTGTTTGGTGCAGAGCTGCATGAGGAAGGATACTCGATGATAGTATTATATGATGAAAAGGTGATAAAAAATGCCAGCTCTCAGAATGGAATTTGTACAAAATTTAGATGATTATGATTTCACTTGAAAATCATCACAAGTTTATTCATTGTTATGAAAAACTTATTTCAGTATAGCTCAGTGATGATGCCTGCATGATTTTCAGCTCCTGCCTCATAGATGTAAGTGATTCAAAAGGAGTTTCTAAGCCATGATGACCTTACATTTCTGTGGGTTACAAACAATACCAAAATATCTGTGCTTTAATTCACCAAACATTGGCTTCTCAGTCACCGACAGGGTCTTCCATCGGTTCATGTGTGAAGTTTGCCATGCTCTGCAATTCTGCCAGTCGTGGGTCCATGGTGGAGCTTCCATCATCATGCAATTGCCCCATCTAGAACATGTCGTCAGAACAAGATAGACACACAACACAAAAGACTGTATAGGAAATACAAGATGTTTCAGTCCTGCCTTTGACTGAGATTAAAAAGGACAAATTTTTCCCAAAGGAAGTGGGGAAAGGTAGAAAAATTATGGAGATGTGTTTGTTACTCAGTAAAAGATTATGCTTGAATACTACCATGTATTAACCTCCATGTTCTCACCTGCCTCCTAGTTGTTGGGTAACAAGGCACTGACTTGGTTCTACTATGGTTAATTTCTTTCTTACCTGCCTGCATAAGAAATAGAAACTGGTAATTAACTGATATACTCCTAGGATTCAATGACATTTTGAAAAAATTTTCTCCATAGGCTCACACTGAAGAAACTTTTAAATTTTATTTTCACAATGATGGCTGCTGATAGTCACTATGTCTGCTTGTATTTACAGAGTTTTATAACTGATTATCTTTCCCATCACAGTCTGCAAGGGTTCAGGCGCCAAGCCTTTCCAGATCATTATTTTATCCTTTGTGGCTTGCCTGGGGCTTGAATATAGCATAAGTTCAACAAATAATTATAGGATTGAATTGAAATGCTGAGTATTCCGGCTGTATCATTGTACTTCACATTTTTTCTTACACGAACATTCTTGCCAGAGTAAGCCAGGGCAGGAATAAAAATGTAGTGACTGGGTGCCTAGCTGGTGCAAGTCCTAGAACATACCCTTTCCTGGCACCTTACCTGGTGCCCTCCCACTGTTATTGCTTTGTAAGTTTCCATTCTATTTCCTTTCTTTCATTTCCCCTCCTCAGATTTTCAGTTTCGTTTCTACCCAGTTCCTCTAGGGAAATTCCCTTGTGAAGACCAGTTTTCTGGCTTGGTGAGTGAATCTTGCCCATACCTGCGTCTGATCTCCACTGAATGAAGACTTCTGTACTCCAGCCTAAAGGTTTGTGGGGCAGTTTGTGAAGGAAAAGGACAGGAAGTTTGGGAGGAAGCGATTGAATGTGTTTGGATGAGTTTAATTTGTGCTTCTGAAGCTGCTCTGAATTCACCCAAGAGCCAGCTTGTATGTTTAATGCAGAAGAGAGGTGCATTGAGTGTGGGGGTGGCATGACCGCTGAAAACGGGAGACTTAGGACCACTGAGAGCCTTGTTTGTTTCTTGGAGGGATCATTATTTCTCCAGGCTGAATTACTCTCATCTTCTTTCCATTCTGTAGTTTTGACTTTTCTACCTTGCCACCCAAATAACTTTTTTTTTTCAGATACAGAAAATCTCTTCCTCTTTTTCTCCAACAAAGCCTATGAGATGGAGCTCTGTTTTCCCTCTTCATAAAAGCCCGAACTCCTGGACAGAGCCAGTAGAGATAAGAGTCCTTATCTGGACTTGTGGGAGGGAAAGGGATCTTAGGGGCTGTGCCGGGCAGAAGACACTCTTGAAACTTATCCTTTTACTCTTTTCGTCCTGGTAACTGCTGGGAAACTGTCCAGAATCTTCCTGATAAATCACCAGACTTTTGGCCAGCCTGATGAAAGAGGCTGGATGATCACACTGCTTGTCCATCTCTGCAGCTCCCCCATGGTCACTTGTCTCTCTGGAGCTCCAGCCACAGGGAATTTGTTCTCTTTTCAGCGTGCCCATGGCTTACTCTCACCTCAGCAGCACCCCACGACACTCTGGTGTCTACTCTTGATTCAGAACTTGTCCTTCATCATCTTAGACACACCTTTCCATTGCTTTTCTAGCTCAACTCCTTACTGCATTTCCCCTGCACAGAGCTAAGCAAAGGAGTGGGTAATTTCTCAGAAATAACTCCATCTTAATCTCACCTCTGAACACCTTGTCCCTGATCTGTATGTTACATATTTTGATGTGTACTTTCCTTTCCTCTCACTTTTCAGAAGTCACTGGTCTGTGTCTTACATCTAGACAAGGTTCATATCTGGTTTATATTGTTTACTCAGGGGGCTAGTACAGGGTCCAATGGATGGGAGAAAGTGGGTTTTGAAATTTTAAAAATATTTTGATTAAATTCACAAGAATCAAAGCATATAGCTATGAGGAAAGAATTGTATTAACACCTACTGAACATTCAATAAATATTAAGCATCTATAAAAGATCATATTCTTGGTGAGTGAGAGAAAATAAACAAATAGCAAAAGAAAAATGCAGTATGAGAAAAGATGAAAACAAAGAAACAACAGCACTAAGAGACAAAAAGCCCACCACAAGGCTCTGTGTCTATGGTGTGCCCTGGTAAAGGGCTTTGCAATTTAAAATAGATTTCAGGTTAGGTCTCAGTGTGGGAAGGTGATTTTGAGCTGAGTTTTCAAGGAATTGATGGATTTAAGATGAATTTTTGCCCAGAGTGATCAAGGAACACAGAAGGCAAGCAGTATGGGTTGGGGAGGAGTAGGAGCTGGACTGAGGGGATGAGGCAATAGGAAAGGATGTATAAGGTGAACCTAACTCTACCATGATAAAGGCTGACTCAAACTGAATGACATGTATTTGAGCAGAGGAATGGCAAGATTAATGGAAGCTTAAAAAAAAAATCATTCTTGCTGGTGGTGTGAACGGTGATGAAAGCAGCTTGTATGAGATGAATGACAGTATCAGGGAGACTGGTGGGGAAACTATTCCAGAAATCCAGGTAAAAGACTCAGTTGGATGGGATCTAATTTGAAAAGACAGACAGGGATGAGCCTGCCATAGCCTTATGGACATGGACTTCTATGACAAAATGACTGCTTTGAAAAAAGTTGACCTCAGAGCTTGAGCTCTTGGGGGACAGGGCCGTTCATGTGGAGCAGATTAAACCCTGGACTCCAGGGTGGTAGAAGAGGGAGCACTGAATGTAGAGAAATGCAGAGGAATTGCAACACTTCTGAGTTCCCCAGGTCTCTGGATGCCAAGAACAGGCCCTGCTTTTCCGCTGGCAGCTCCTGACCCAGGGAACAGAGGAAGTATCAAGGATGTTGTCTAAACTCCTCACAGGACTTTCTCTCCTTATTGTGGAGACACTTTCATTTTTCTCATCTAAACTGTGCAGACCTCTGTGCAGACCATCAGGATATAGTGAGATAAGGAAACTTAGGATCTAGTTGGCCCTTACCCTACTGTAAAAACTCCTACACTTGTACCATCTCCAAGGGGAGCCTACATTTTGTCTCTGTGTTGGTCTGTCTGGTTTAGGTGGAGACAGTTTCAATGGTGTCACACTTCTTCAATGATAGAATAAAGAATAAATGAATAGAGGAGACATAAGCATTTATATTAGTTTTCTATGGCTGCCATAAAAAAACACATCACAAATGGTTGGCTTAAGTGAAATTTATTTTCTCCCAATTCTGGAGTCTAAAATTACAAGATCAAAGGTGTTGGCCGGGTTCGTCCTTCTGTGGGTGGTGATGGAAGATCTGTTCCCTGTCTCTGCTAGTTTCTGGAGCTTGCTGGCAATCTTTGGTGTTCCCTTGTTTGTAGATGCACCACCCTGATCTCAGCTTTTGTCTTCACATGGCCTTCTCCATGTATGCATATCCATCTGTATATCTAAATTGACTCATTTTGTGAGGACACAGTCATGTTGAATTAAGGCCCATCAGAATGGCTTCATTTTAACTTGATCATCTGCAAAGACACTCTATTTCCATGTAAAGTTACATTTACACATACTAGGAGTAGACTTTGACCTCTTTTGGGGGAATATAATTTAACCTGTAATAGCACCCAATGTGTTTGAAACAGAACACACTTTATCTCTCTACCTATGGCCTTGTTCTATACAAAGTGTAGAGTCTTCTCTCCTATGACCAACAGATTCCTCATTGGAATTTATGTTTCTTGAGTATCTGTCATGTGTGTGATCCTATGTGTATATGAACCTGTTCTTCTCCACCCAAAAACACTCCTTTAGGTGCCCATCGACAGATGTTCTTGCTGTATGTCCAGGCCAAGATAAAATCCCATCTACAAATACAAGACTCCCCAGAACCACCAAGCTGGTCTTCATATCTCCATTTTCACACGTCCATAGCAATGGGTATCCATCTAGTTCTTACAACCTTTACCTCTGTTTGTCTTTGTTAAAATCCATGCAGTAATGGAGAGAGCTCTGAAAGAGGATCCTGAAGATTGTATGTCCACCCAACTCTACCTTTTATAATAGAATGGTCTCTGTAAAAGAATGATGCATAGGTCATTTGATTCCATTTATACATCTGAAGAAAGGGAGTACTCTTATTTCTCAAGGATTTTTATATAAGGGATAAATAAGTCAAAGTGATTTGTAAAGTGTAACTGATTATAAAATTGTTAGTGATAAAATCACCTCCCGATTGTGGCCCTTGCTGTTTCTGTAGGTGTCTCTGGGGAATGAATTTGAGGGCATGGGAATGCTCTGTGTGGGACAGGTGTGTTTAGAGGTAAATTCTTCCCAACTATTAGAGAACTGCTAATGGATGGAAAGAAAAGATGAAAACTGATGAGAAAGGTCTAATCATCTATGGAGAGATGAGGAGATTCTAGCTTTATGTATTCATCACATTTTGTGTTCCTGTGTATGACGCACTGTTCTAGGTACTGAGAATCCATCAGTGCACAAAACCATGCCTGATGTATGCATGGATTACTTTTTAGGAGGAAGAGGAAGACATTTAAAGAAAGATGCTATATACTATATAGTAAAAATAAGAGAAATATAGCAAATGTACAGCAAGTGATAATATTAGCAGTTATGCTAAAGAGAAGTTAAAGCAGGTCCTGATAAGAGGGCAGAAGAAGAGATTGAATGAAACAAAAGAGTGAGTCATGCTGAGATCAGGGGAGAGTGGTTCCATGCAGAGAGACAAGCAAGGGCAAAGTTTCTGAGGCAGAAGTGGCTTTTGTGCTTTCAACATTAAGAAACTAGAGAGAAAGGCAGGATAGATGAAGCTCAATAGCAGTATCCTAAGTGAAAGAATTCAGCCTCAAAAGACCGTATGTTATAATTCCACTTTAATAAATTGACCAGAAAAGGCAAATCTATAAAAACATAAGATTAATGGTTGCCTGAAGCTCAGGTTCAGAATGCGGGTGACTGCTAATGGCATTCAGTTTGTTTTCAAGTGATGGAAATGTTCTAAAATTGGACTCTGTGGATAGTTATACAGTTCCCTAAGTTTGCTAGAATCATTGTATTGTACTTTTAAAATGAATGCATTTGATATAAATATAACTTCATAAAATTGTTTTTAAAATGTGTAAATATCAGGGGTAGGATCACTCCACACAGGAGGAGAGCAGTGCAAAAGACCAAGGGCCAGAGTGGGTTTAGTGTATTTAAAATGGAGGATGTGTTTGGGGGTAGGGGAATAAAGAAAGGAAAAATTGATGGGTTGCCCAAGGTTCTTGGTAGGAAGGGCTTCAATTTGTCCTACCAGGAGAGGAAGAGAAACTAGCAAGCTTGCCCTGATAGGGTGAAATTTGTCATGCAACATAAACTGAGTAAAATGTTTGTAATTATTACCAAGAGCCCTTTTCATTCTGCTACGGACCTACTCCTTTTATCTGTTTTCTTTTCTTTATTGTATATTAATGTTTTGCCCTGTTCTAAATCTCTACATACTCAGTAACCTTTCTATTTCTGCCTTTCTTATCATGCTCCCTTCAACATTCCCGGCCCTGCAGGAGTCTGTGAGCAAGAACAGCCTCAGTTGTCAGGACAGAAGAAGCCGGGGGAGCGCTGCAATGGATTTTCCAGCGCAGGTGAACATACAGAAGGATGTGACCTGCCCCATCTGCCTGGATCTTCTGACAACGCCCCTGAGCCTGGACTGTGGCCACAGCTTCTGCCAAGCTTGCATCACTGCAAAAAGCAAGGAGTCAGGGGCCAACCAAAGAGGGGAAAAGAACTGCCCAGTGTGCCAGCGTAAATACCAGTTTTGGAATCTCCGACCTAATCAGCCCCTGGCCAACATAGTGAAGAAAGTCAGGGAGAACATGAGCCCACAGCAGAAAAATCTCTGTAAGCACCATGGAGAAAAACTCCTGATCTTCTGTAAGGAGGATGGGAAGGCCATTTGCCAGCACTGTGCCCAGTCTGTGGAGCACCGTGGTCATCAGATATTCTTCATGGAAAAGGTGGTCATGGAATGTCAGGTAGGCCCAAGGGTGAAGGTAGATGGGGCAGAAAGGTACCTCAAGTGAATCCTTCACTTTTTGAAACTACTTTCTTCCCTTGGTCATCATAGAACTGAGCTCTGCTATCTCTTTCCGTACCCTTTGCTCAGCTTCTGAGATTTAAAGGATATTTCTGTGCATTCTTTCATTTGATCAGAAATAAGTCTAGGCTACAAAGAGCAGTTGGATGAGTGGAGAAATGCTTCCCAAGATAAATTCTGATTGTGCCTTTGAGCAGAAGAAACCCTTCTGGGGAACACGGTTGGTTGGATGTGGGGAACATGTCACTGAGATGAAAGGACTTTCCTTGCGGCAGGATCAGTTCTTCCTCTAGGAAAAGAGATAATCAGGTTACTCTTGATCAAGGGATGGTAGCTCGCATCACCCAGGGATACAGAGTACATTAATCTCTTCAGAATTTTGTCTACATCCTAGATTCTAATCACCAGTTTCATTTCTGTAACCTAGTCTCTTCTGAGATGAGTCTGTTTTCTTTCCTCTATCCAGCTGCTAAGAAAGCTCATAGCTTGACTCTGGTGATTCTTTTCTCACAGGAAAAGCTCCAGGCAGCTCTGAAGAAGCTGAGGAAGGAGCAGCTGAAAATGGAGGAGTTGGAAGCTGACATCAGGGAGGAGAAAGCTTCCTGGAAGGCAGGAAGAGATATTTCCTGAGGGAGTTCTGAAAAAGAAAACTGGGCAGCACCTCAGTCCAGTCACAAGGAGGCCCCTTCCTCAGTGACCTCAGAATTAAGGAGTTCAGGGGATTGTCAATTAGTCCTCATTTCATTCCTTCCCTGTTGGGGGTTGGGTGCCAGAGAGTACAAATATCACAAGTGAAACCAAATATTTGGAGGTGAAGGCATGGAGGAAAGCAGTGTAAAAATGACTCATGAATCCCATGTCCCATATCCATCATCAACTTTGAGGCACTAACACTTGCAGAAAACACACTGAGAAAAGCCCAGCGTTCCCTACTTAGGAGCTGTGGGTGGAAGGGCTTCCTATGCGGTGTGGCATGATTATCCAGGACAGGTGTCTGCAATCCAAGCCTCATCCCGGTGTCACTTTGTGTCTCAGCGTGGGCCTTGTTAAAGTAGACTTTAATCTATTCCTTTGGGAGAAACTCAAGAGCAAATAGTGGGGAAATGACTTTCTCAGTAGTTGCTCACTGCCTGTTCCCTTCTCTTTGAGAAGTCCCTGAGGAAAATAGTTCTTGTCTTGGCTCCCAGGCCCAGACAATGTAGGCCCTTGGCCAGACAGACTGACTGCCTCTTTCTCTTCTCATCCCCAAAGAATCATATGCAGACTGAGAGACAGAGGATTCTGAAAGGGTTTAATGAAATAAGAGGCACCCTGGACAGCGAGGAGAAGAGTGTGTTGCAAAAGCTGGAGGAAGACGAAGTGAATGTGCTGGATAACTTGGTAGTGGCCAAAGACCAGCTGGCCCGGCAGAAGCAGTGCTTGAGAGAGCTCATCTCAGATGTCCAGCATCAGATATGGGGGTCGTCAGCAGACAAAGTGCAGGTACGTCTTGGGTTGGAGCTCCTACATGATGAGATTCAGGGGAAACACAGAGACAAAATTTCCTTCTCTGCTGGGTCCCCGCACTTTCTTCCCCCTGGTGACATTCAAGGCTCTTGGGCCCCTCAGTACCTCTTCTCTGTCATTTCAAGTGTCCTAGGGATAATTCAAATTATGAACGACAAGGGAAATGGCCATTGTTAGCAATTTATGAAAGGCAGTGCAAAAAATTTGGAGAGAAATTCTTCATAAGCTCCCATTATCTGCCATCTTGCATTTGTAAGGCATCTCTTCACTAAGTTTAGTCAACTAACACAAATCTCTGTTTATGTTTGATTTTCTTGTTGTGTTGAGTCCAGACTGTGCAATACCTGTGGATTTGATTTGCATTGCCTGAGTGTAGACCAATAATGTTTAGCATCTTTTCATGTGGTTTATTGGACATTTGTATATCTTCTTTGGAGAAACATCTCTTCAAATTCTTTCCCCATTTTTCCAATTAGGTTGTTTGCTTTTCGTTGTTGAGTTGTAGGAGTTTGTTGTATATTCTCTAGACTAATGCCTTATCAGATATATGATTTGCAAATATCTTATCCCTTTTTGTGCATTGTCTCTTTGCTGTCTTCCTGGCGTCCTTTGATACACAGAAGTTTTTAACTTCTTTGTGGTCCAACTTAGTTATTTTTCTTTTATTCCCTGTGCTTTTTTGGGTCATATCCAAAAAATCATTACCAAATCCAGTATTGTGAAGATTTTTCTTTTTGTTTTCTTCTAACAGTGTTATACTTTTAGATCTTAAGTTTAGACCTTTAATTGATCTTAAATTATAATTTATATATGATATAAATCATCCATGTTTAAAATTATTGTAACCATTGTATTATGTTGAGCCTTTTTGGGGGGAAATAATTTGTTAAAAAGGGTGAGGAGATGGTAGCCAGTGAAGGGGTGGGCTGTATGGGACATTTGTTTGTCCAACCTCAATTCATTACCTTTTTTTTGTAACAACCTCTTGAATTACCCATTAAGGAACCATCCTTACCCTCAGTCCATGTAGTTGGTTAGGGTTTATAAAATCAGCAGCATCAGGGAGGTACGTGTCTCTTAATTCTAAGTAAATCAGAATATCAGATTCCTATCCAATGATGCAGTAATTATTTTAAGATATGCACCTGACCCAATTTAGGTCAATGATTTTTATGCCTTAGAATTTCACTATCATGACTAGAAAGAGTTCTCTTTTTCACCAAGTAATATATCAGAGATTATCATTTAAACCAGGAGATTTGAGTTGATTCCATACAGAGTCTAAGAAGAAAGTCAATACTGCAGGTGGAAAATAGAATTTTGAGAACAGATTCTGATGACAAGATTTTCATTTAAAAACCTAGCTATGACTCAAGTTACCCCTGCCCTGGAATTTATTCTTTTTTCTTTTAAATTTAAACCAGTTTTAGTCATATACAATAACAACAAAAAAGCCTAATACAGAGAATAAAACTTTATCTGAGGATGTGGAGCCAACCGGTGGCCAAGTCATTGTTGGTATAAAAGGGGTTAGGCTGGAGAGAGGGAAACCAAATATATTGTTACATTTCTGTTCAAAAAATAAGGCAAATAATGGCTATGCTGGGAATAAGAAGATGGCTAAAATATTTTGAGGATATAGACTAGACTGACTTAATACAATATTGGAATTCAGAGTTGGATATTATAGTTTCTAAAACAGTGACTTGAGCAGATATTGGTATCATTTTGGATATGGAAAGTAAATAGTTGGGAAATAGTAAGTTACATTTTAGACTTCCTCAGTTTCTGGCTCCTGTGGCTTATTTCATGCTTAAAAATTGGGGAGATTACCTGTAGGTAGTGTAGAGGAGGTATATAGAATGAGTAGAGGGAAGCCAGAGAAACATTCGGTTGAAGTTCTTGTTTACTTGTTCCTGCAGCAAAAGAAAGTATACTTTTTGAGAACTATTATTATTGATTATTCATATTTGACTTTCCAGAGCCTGGAATTATGTCTGGCAAATATGGTTTTCACTTTTATTTGTCTCTAGAATAAATAAAAGGATAATGAATTAATGAGGTCTTCTCATGAACGTATTTTTTTAAATGTCAAGTCTTATCTTCTTTTTAAATATATCCCATCTCCAAATACTGGAAATCATCTTTCTAACATACTCACATGAGTCCTTGGGATGGTTGATCTTGGTCTTATCTCTACATTTTGTCCTCCATACTCTGATAATCTACTTATTCACATCATACCAAGGGGCTTTAGGGGTCTAAGGTGGATAAAACTTTTTAAGGTAGGAGGGCTTATAACTCCTTGGAGGGTTGCCAGACCAAATACAGGATGCATAATTAAATTTTAATTTCAGAAAAACAA